CCCGTGTCGCAAGCTTACACAAATGCGCAAAAAGTAGATTTTGTTATGACCCCTAAGACAACACAAAACGGCACAAGTCTCAGTCGTCCTCATAATGATGTAAAATCTGTCTTTGTCAAGAATTACCTCACATCCTATGGTCTTCTCAGTAATGGTCAACTCGTAGAAGCTACGAGAAGTTGTCGCGCGAGTGACGCTGAGGCTTTAGCGATGTCTCTCATTGAGCTAAATATGCTTGATGACATCGAACAAGCTGGACTAGTTTACAAAGACCAAGCTGAACTTTCCGTTGATCACTTGGAAAATACAGGCACAGAAGCAGGTGCGGGGGCTGTAGGTTCTTTCGTTGGTTCTCTCAGCCTTTGTTCTTTCAAGAACGGAAATGAAAAAAAACTGTGCTCGGGGCGTAATTTTGTCAACGCTACCAACAGTCTCCAGCTCGATTTTACTCCTGCGTCAGGCAACGATCAAACAGTCACCATTGACATTATCACATATTATGTTCTGTAGTCACTGTTCACCTCAAGGCCGGCGGTGTTTGGATATGAGGGGAGAAGCAGGGAGAGCCTCTCTTTGGCATTTGCCGGCGCGCGCGCGGCCGGCTGTCCATGGTCATGGGCTGCGGATCGCGGCAGACGTGCCTCTGGTGTGCTCGGAACTGTGCTCCGTGACCATGGACACCCTGACCGTCATCCGGAATCGCTGCGCGAAGTTCGAGCATTTCGGCATGCTCTGCGAGCCGAAAAGCAGCCCATTTTGGGCTCTGGGCAGCGTGCTGGCTGGATCGGAGGCTCGGGGTACATGTCTGATACCCTCGGACTGCTCAGTTGCTGACTTGGCTCGAACGACGTGCGACACCGCGCGCGCGGGCGTGCGGGCGCGCGCGACGCGGTTTCAGCGCGAACACGTCAGATCGACTTCCTCGGGTCCGCGGGGCCAACCCTTGTGGCAGGGCGCTCTCGGGTCGACAGCGGACGATCCCTGCTGCTGCGCGGGGCTGCCCGGGCCGCTCACGGGCCGGGGGAGGGGCGTCGCGTCCGTCAAATCGGTCGCCCGAAGCCGCTTGTGTTCTCAGCGAGTCGCAATCCAAACGCTGCCGCTCCTTCGCGGATGGCAGCCCCGATGTGTGCGCTATGCGCAGTCCCAGCGATCTTGCACGCGGGGGGGCGCGCGCGGTGGTAGGCGCGCTCGACTAAATTTAATGCATCCATGCCGTCGATCTCTGAAATCAGCGGAACCAAATACATAGAGCGAGCCGATGAGCGGAACCAAACACATACAGCGAGCCGAGAGTAAACCAAGCTCAACGGATCGCCGCCGCAGTGGTTGCTATTCCCCTCCTTGTTTGGATGTTCTCCACTATGTGATTATTTAACAATCTCATAAGAATAAAAAATGTTGAAGAAAAAATGTCTCTTCCAACAACTAGAGGTGTTAATAACAGTACCTTCTCAAACACAGCAAACTTTGATGACACTGTCGAAGACGCAAATCTTCAAAGCCAGATTTATGCAAATGTATTGTCTATAGGTAATAACTTTGATTACACTGTGACAAAATTCCAGACAACAGATGCAAAAATAGCAACCATTGAGCAATCAATCTTAAATTTAGAAACTGACGATTCTTCTTCGTTTGATGCGACGCAAATAGAGTCAGATATAACTTCTAATGAACGAAACTTTTTCTCATATGAGGAAAAGGCGCTTAAGAGGTTCCCCGTAGCGCCCATACTATAACGGTTTCCGAGCCCTCCCCGCGGTGAGATCGACCTTGAGGGAAGCCAAAGAGTTCTCGCAGGAGCTGCCGCCTTGCGCCAATCCCGGCGTGCTCTCGTTCCTACTTCCAGCCACCTCCTGTCTCCCTCCAGTTTGGGAATGGCCCCTATCTCCCTTTCCTTTTTCTAGTGCGCGCCACGAAAACGAGCCCACACAAAGCGACGTGCGCTTTCGTGGCGGCTTTCTCTAATGTTGTGTCACGATCGCCCCGAGCTGCCCTTCATACCAACCCGGGTCAGTGTGGCATGCTACGCCGATAATACTGCTATATATCCGCACGAAGGACGATGTGCGCCGGGAGGTTCTTGCAAAGGCAGAAGGGCATCGTCAGCAGATGCTTGAAGCGTTTTTGTGCTGGGATATCATGGTTGAAGCGGTTTTGTGCTGGGATGCTTGGTGCTTCGAGTCGCTTCTCGTTGGAAGTCCGCGAGCCCGTAAAGGTCCGCGTGAGCTCGGCGAAGCGGCCCGCGTCGGCGGGCGTGCGCGGAAGCGCGACCGAGGGCGAGTCCTCGAAGGCAGCGCCGCGCCTTGAGGAACGGGTCCCGTGCTCGACGTCGCGGACGTGGCGCAGGAGCGCGCGGCGCGTCGTCTTCTTCTCGAAGGACGGGCGCGGCGTCGACCAGGGCGCGCGCCCCAAGGATCTCGTCCAGGTCTCGGACGCCCAGCGGGACGCCGGGCGCCTCGAGGATCGCCGCGGACCGCGCGCCGACGATCGACGCTCCAGGTGAAGCCGTCGACGCCCAGCGCCTCGAGCGGGCCGCGCAGGAAGGTCACCTTGTCGATTATGGTGCCGGCGCGGCTTCCGCTTTGTCGTCGACCCGCCTTTGTCCTAAATCTGGGCGGGTCCGTCGCCGAGCGCGTGTCCGTGTCGACAGCTCCGACATCGCGTCGATCGATCTGCATGCCTCTGAAGTAAAGAGATAAATAAATCAAACTAAATCGTATGTGGCTCGCCGCGGCCAGGTAGAAAGCCGTGGTCACGGTCGCATGACAGTGGACCGCCTCCTAGGTGGCTGGGAAATGCTACCATCTCCCATGCGCTAGGCGCCCTCTGTGGCGCGAGAATGTCTGATTGCAACGTGGGAAATTTAGCGTCCGAGGGTTAGATCGAGTATATATTAACCCATATTGTTTCCATCATACATATAACATCACGGCCACTCTACACGGCCACCACACGAGACAAGTCACGAGCCGCGCCTCCCGCCGCGGCGCATGAAAGGCAACTAGGCTGAGCCACCCGCCCGCTCTCTAAGAGACGACGCACGCGCCGGAGTCGTCCTTGCCGCCGCCGCCGCCGCCCTTGGCCGCTCTGACGAGGAGCGTCCGCCGGACGACGGGGATGGGGAACTTCTCCGCGAGGAAGCCGTTGTAGTGCTTCGACTTCATGAAGGGCGTGATATGGGACTGCTGGATCTCCTTGTAGACCTGCTGGAGCGGGTTCTCGAGCCCCTCGACGAGGATCTTCGAGTCGCCCTGGGCCTCGGCGTCGTCCTTGGCCTTGTCCAGCGCCTTGCGCTGCTTCGCGCTCAGGTTCAGGATGCCCGACTGGAAGTAGGCCTCGGAGATCTTCGCCAGGCGCGACTTCGACGAGGGGAAGTCGAGGTCGACGACGTCCCTCTTGAACGCGTGCACCTCGCGGCAGAAGTCGAAGCTCTCGGTACAAAAGGCCTCCTTGCCGTACCCATCGAAGGCCGCCATCAAATCGTCGTCGTCGAGGTTCTTCTGGAACAGCGTGTTCACGAAGCCGTGCAGGTGCGCGCGCTCGAACGCGCAAATTTTGAGGTCGCGCTTGATCAATTTGATGGATGTGTTCCCCGCCGACGTCAGCCGTTTTGCCTTCTCCTTGGGTAGAGCATACCTGTTCGGTGCAAAATAAGCGTGACTATGACAGTGGGGATCGGGCGGGGAACGTAACGCTCAATGAACGCCGAAGAGGTACGCTTCCGTGGGCCCCGTGGCCTTGACGGACGCTTTGGGCGTGTTGCCCGTGAGGATCCAGCCCTCGCCGACGTAGAAGGGACTCTTCAGGCGCGTGATGCGCTTGTTCTTCTTGATGGACTTGCGCTTGCCGCCGTCGGCGTCGGCGTGGTCATCGTCGAGGAGCGCTGCGTTGACCTCCGCACCGCCGGTTCTGAAGAGGACCAACCGCGCGTGCGACTCGTCCTCGTCCCCGGCCAAAATGACGACATCGTCCGCGGCGAAGGTCACGGGCTGGAAGGCCTCGGCGAGCTTTGTCAAGTCCGTCGCCTTTAATTCTGGCACCTTCTCGGCCTGCGTCTGCTGCGTCTCGAACACATGCTCGAGCAGCCAGATCTTGTCGTCCATGGAACCAAACTCGTGCGACGAGATGCGCCCCATGGCCGCGCCGCGCACGCGAGACGACCGCAACCCAAGCGCACGGCCGCCGCACACGATTCCAAACGCCGCCGCGTCGGTCGGGCGCCGATGGGGCTACAGCACAGCGTACCTACCAGGTCTGATCATCCAAAGTAAAACTGAACCTCTCTATATTGGTACTACTATTGTATTGTAGCGACCGGTCGTTGCGGTAGTAACCTACAAGCAGGCCTACGGGCTGCGGCCGTGGATTTAATCTTTAGAGAGATAGAGAGACTTCTATCTTCATCTTCAGTGAACTGCATCTTGATGTTGCAGTGCACCTTACCCCACTGCGCTCCTACTGCGTATCCTGCTAGTCTTCCCTTCCCTTCCTTAATTCATTCTAATCCAGTTTGAGTCTTATAGACAGCGAACTGAAGGAGTGACTGCCAAGCAGGCATAGAGAGCACAGCGCTCTTCTGTGTCTGTGGTGTCTGTCTGGTTAGCGTCACAGCGACGTGCCAGGTAAAACCGGGCCCAGCGAGGTTGCACAGTCGCCGGACAGTGCACCTGCTGGATAGTAGCCTGACTGACGTCATAGCGACGTTAGGAACTAGAGAGATAGAGAGCTTTATATCTCCCTAGTTGCTCGCTGGTACAGAGCCACCAAATATCCCTTCCCTTCCTAATACTTTCCAACCCTGTTATAGCTGCTTCTCGCACTGTGATAGACGGAAGCATCAATTAGGAACTGCTCTGGTATTCTCTTTACCCGTGACTGACGTCATAGCGACGTTAGGAAGCTAGTAAACTTTCCTAACTTTCTATGGTTCCAGCATGCCATTCCGGATAATATATATTAGGTATTGGTTCCATCTTGCTTATAGGCATATTGGTTCCAGCATGCGTATGGAGATATTGATTCCATCATGCATATCCGCGGGTATTGGTTCCAGCATGCCATTCCGGACAATATAAATAGTGATACTATCGTTCAAATGATGATAGCTAATAGAACCCCTATTCGTACGACCCTCTGCGACCTCCAGGTACTCTGGGGCAGCCCCGGCATCATTGGGGTTTTGCTTCGCTTCTTGGATCTATCGAGCATCACCTCTCTCCCAGCGTTGGCGCAGCGTTTCGCGGCGAATCACTTGCGTGTGCTTTTCATGCTTGCCCGGACCACACCTAGACTCGAGCGACGCCTCATGGATGCGCTGTCTGATAACGGCTACGATGCCGTCCGATTTCGGCAGCGGTGGGAAGCCCCGCTTCGTGCGAACTGGATGCGCGACAACGCGAAGCAGGATGGACACGGTCGTGTTCCCCCTGTGGACATCCGTAAACGACGATCGGGATCTGGGCCTTGCTTCTTGTCTATAACCCATGGTGGACTGGTTTGGCCGGTAACAGGTTCCAGAAATTGTGTGACGCGGTTCAAGGTACTGTTTCGTTATGGCGACCGACACCGGCGCGCCCTCGTTTGAGCTAGCGTCGCGTGCTGACCCCCAATCTTGGAACAAAAGGGGGCCTCCTCCGTTCTTGTGCAGATTGTTTGTAGAATGTGATGCAAAGGCAAAGTCACGTCGTGGAGGGCGCTATGGTGCACTGATGTATCACAGTGGCAGGTCAACACACGTTCTCCAGGCGGATGCTCGGCGGTTGGAATGGTTCCATTTCGAGGCAGCATTTAACTGGCAGACTCACATGCTCGACCTGTCAGTCAATGGTAGTTTCTGGCGGCTTCCTTTCTCCGCGTATCCGCTATCATCCGTCTACATTCGCAACGTTCGTGGCGCTGGAACGTCGTCTGCTGCCTCAGACTTTGGAGACATAGAGGTAGACTACTGTCGGATGTCAGACCAATGGGATAAGTTCAACGAGCTTGGCGAAGTCATCCCCTACTCGTGGTACAGTGCGCGGTTGCTCTACCCCTATGACCCTGCCCCTCGCGACGCGATGCGGCCTACCTTGTAACACGTCGATGTGCGACGTCGATGTCACGTAACATATCCCGCCGGCGGGATATGTTAAAAGCCGCTTCAACTTGGACTTCAACCTCAAACCTTGCACTTCAACAGGGACCTCAACACCGCCGCTTGCCCAAGGGACCTCAACACCGCCGCTCACGCCTCGTCGGGGACCGGCGACTGTGCAACCTCGCTGAGCCTGGTGTTATCTGGCACGTCGCTGTGACGCTAACCAGACAGACACCACAGACGCAGAAAACGGTAGGGCACTCTTTTTACGTCGTTTTTTGAGTTTACGAAAAAAATGACTAAAAAGTGTGTCCTATCTTTTTTGGCGTCCCCCACAGCTACCATTAATCTTTGGCTTGCGAGTGTACTTCTGCACACCTGCTGTGAGTTTGGCTGCGACTAATTTACAGAAAAACTGAAAGTCAATGAACCATCTGTTTGCACATAGGGCAAATGGATGCCCGTTCATATTTATCTGCATTTATTCAGATATTTATTTCCTATTTATGGCGCAAATCTACGTTGGAATCATATGGCGCAAAATCTATGTTGGAACCAAGCAGTAAGCCTTGTCGAGGACATGGTGAAAAATGGAGTCGCAAGTCTTGGTTCCATCATGCATTTCGCGAATCTACGATGGAATCATATGGCGCAAAATCTATGTTGGAACCAAGCAATAAGCCTTGTCGAGGACATGGTGAAAAATGGAGTCGCAAGTCTTGGTTCCATCATGCATTTCGCGAATCTACGTTGGAATCATATGGCGCAAAATCTATGTTGGAACCAAGCAATAAGCCTTGTCGAGGACATGGTGAAAAATGGAGTCGCAAGTCTTGGTTCCATCATGCATTTCGCGTCGAAGTCTTGGTTCCATCATCTATTTGATAAACATTCTACGCGCATTAAGTAATGGGCGTGCGGGTTTTTCATCACCAGGGTATGGAGATGATCAAAGTGTCCATTGAGTGGTATTGGTTCAGGTAGCGTCGACAAACCCGCATTAGATTGTTTCCATCATAGGCATGAATATTGGTTCCATCATGCTTTTCTCGACCACATGGTTCCATCATACCATTAATCTATCCGATTGGTTCCATCTTAACAGTCGCTTATTTTAATGCGTTCATTATTTGACCAAAGACATAATTGATGAACAAATACCGCAGCCAGCGTCCATTGACGATGAGGGTGAAATTGTCCCTTTTGATGATTTAATTATAACTTGGGATGCGGGGCGGATTTCATATGAGACTATAGCACAAATGATGAATCAGTGATATGCTATGTAAAATCTTAAATTCCGCAGGCTGATTGCTTCTTGCAGTAAGATAGCGTAGTTTTGGGTGTGGTGGTATGGTAAGTGGTGATAGTGAATATGGTGGTCGTCTTATCAGTTAACAGCCGTTGGCAATACCAGAATCGACAGGGTCATAGGAGCATAGGCTGGTCATGGCGTAATTGACTGCAGCTCCAAAAACATTCATGCACGCAAAATATTCAGACTGCCCACGGTCATCGCTTGTACAGCTGCAAGACGTACAAAGCCCGTTAAATATGAAAGCATCTATCTATGGCATCCATCTGGTATTGAAAACCACTCCCTTGGAAAGTAAATAGTTGGCAACCGGAACAGCCGGAACATCCGTTGAATCGCAGCATGGAAACGGATCGTGAGTGAATGGGCAAGATCCCTGCAGACGCCGGTCGTAGTTTTCGGGGATGGTCTCAACTCCGTCACAAAAGATGACATTGCACCCATCCGCGCAGTGGACATCGTCGGTGAATGCGCCGCCGTAGGCATATGCCGAGTCGATCATGATTTTACGAAGCTCGAGACGAGTGCCAGAGTACCCTTGAGCGACGAGACTCGATTCTGACTTCGAGAGTATCGATGCCACGGACACCTCCTGGGTAAAGTTGGCCGGTCTCATCACGTGTGACCAGACCGATCCGCCCGCGTCAACTGAGGAAAAGTAAACGACCTTTTGCTCCGTCAGCTCCGAACGCGTCATCCCCATCAGCTCCACCAAGGGGCACTCTTTGTCAGCGACGAGCGCCACTTTCACCGTATTGCCGTCGCGCGTTTTGAGCGTGTCGTCGTCGTTGACCTCCGTTTCCTGACAAGCTCGTAGCCGGCAATATTCGCAGCCAAGATCGCTCCAAGGAGCACGGCCACGAACAGCAGGGCCACGAAGGAGTAGCAGTTGCTGCGTGCGACTTCCACGGAAAGGTCGTGCTGGGACCGACCGAGGTTGTCTAGGAGCATGTGGGTGAACCGCTTTGCTTTCGGGGGAGCTTCAGCCCCAGGGGCCTCGACTTCGATGGCTTTCAGCGCGGTGCTATCTTCGACGTGCGTCGTCATTTCCGGGTTCTTGGCGGGCGTTGTGTGTTCTGCAGAATACCACAACCCGTGTGTAGAAATGGGACTATCCTAATCTTTGTTGTATCTTTGCTGCTAAGACAGATCCCGCCGTTCTCCCCCCCGTGGTTTATCCCCCGCCTTGTTCAACCACCGTGCACGATCCTGATGTCAAGTTCGCAAAATCGGACGGCAATTTCCCCGGTATGCCCTAGTTATTCCCCCCGTGTTTATCCCCGCACGTTGTTCCTCCGCCAGAAGAGCACCTCAGTAACTTCCTCCAAATCCAGACAATTCCATTCATCACCAACATAGACCGCAACGCATTCGAGCCAGCTGCCCTAATGAATGCTTGACATTCGACAAAAACGTCAAATTTCGACACAAGGTCCTAAACTTGTCATTCGATTGGCGACCGTAATCTCATTTTCCCACCCGCGACGGGTCGGGTAAGGAGCGTCGTCGTCGTCGTTTCGTCTTCTACCTACCGTTGTGATTCCCGACGCCCAGTGGGAGATGCGGCGGCTACTTTTGCATACCGCGCCCACTTGGAGGCGAGTGATACGGAGCTTCCTATCTGGAGACTTGTCCCAAGAAGGATGCTGGTAAGGCGCCGAGCAAGCGTAAGGCACCTGGGCACAACGATCTCAGCATGCTTTTCGAGAAACCCATCATAGTCCAAGTTTATTGAACTACCATCTTCGTATACTATGGGTGTGAGCTCAAACCTGTCAAATGCGAAAGTAGCTGCCTTCATGGTAGCTGCTGCGCAATCGTTTTTCAGTTTGTAGCCACCAGGTGGGAATGAGCGCATGGATGCGGCTACTGCGTATTTGTCCCCACTCAGCAGCGATAGGATTGTTTGCGCCATACATCTCCTCTCTTTTTCCGAGAATATAACACACTGCCCATAGTCAATGAGACCGACCCGACCATCAGACATAAGAATGATATTCCCTGGATGTGGATCAATGTTAGCGAAACCATCAACAAGGAGCTGATAACCATGGACCTGGATAAGAATATCCAAGATCCTCTGCAGGTCAATATAAGATCGGTAGGGGAAACAGCTAAAATGTTCGATTGGCAGCAGCTTGCGACCAGTACAATTGGCAGCAGCATGCAACCAGGCCAATCTCCGCCGCGGGAAAGAAGTCACTGCGTGCCTCTCACTTTCGTTAAATTCAGTAATCCCCGTGCTCATATTATAATGTGCGCGTAGTTCTCTGGCGCTATTGAAACCCATCACACGAGAGAACATCTCCAGATCTTGCTCAATGATTGACTGGTAGCTCTTACCCGAGATAAAATCCATGACGAGAGTCTTGCGAGTCGTGAGGCACAGTACTGGTTGGGGGATTACAATGTAAGTAGGAACAAACCCCGCCACGGTCATTGCCTTGCTAGCACGAATCAGGTTACGACCTTCGATGCGATAATCCAGTTCCTCCTTGTGCGTTGTGTGCTCCAATTTGAGGCCAGAGTGTAAATGAGGGGCAACTATCCTAGAGATAAGTAAAACATAGTCCAGGTCGAGGACAAAAGTTTCATCCACTTCAGGATATTGGATCTTCACTACCACATTGTCGCAAGTTTCACTGAATTTCGCACGCAATCTTGCTCTGTGTGTTTGCCCAAGGCTTGCAGAGCCGAGTGCCTGATGATCGACAAATTCAAAGGCGTCTACCATGGGTTGCCCAGTTGCACCCCTGAAAACATCTTCAACAACCTCGAATGGCCGTGGCTTGACGTGTTCAGTGAGTGGTCTAAATGCGACAACATAGGGCTCTGGGACCACACCTCGACTCAGAGATAGTCTCTGGCCAAGTTTGATGAAAAATCCACTGAGGTTGACAATCTTGTCGTAAATTTTGGGTGCGGTGCGCACATGGTACAGTTTTATTTCTTCATCCAATCTCGCTGCATCCCAGCATCCAGAATATACTTTCAGGCGCATGCAAATCCACTCCATACATAAAGGAAACACGCACTTCCATATCGCGTATTGTCGACGGGTGGCTCGGAGCTTTGACGTCAACGTTGCGGCCGGGAAACTAAGTTGCCATGAATTACTTTTGTTCTGCGCAGACGAGCCACTCATCGGGGCAGAAGTGACAGGTCAAGCGCAGCGATCTGGGCATACAAGATCTTCTCCATCGTTGATTAAAATACAGTGGTCATGTACGTCTCCATCTTCTTTAATCTGGCAACCGCAACGGACACAGCATGAATAAACACCAATATTGTATTTTTTCATCAATTTCCATCGGAGAGATTTCTTCCAGAAAGACGGAATAAATAAGGGCGATTGCTAAGATGGAACCAATCGGATAGATTAATCGTATGATGGAACCAAGTGGTCGAGAAAAGCATGATGGAACCAATATTCATGCCTATGATGGAAACAATCTAATGCGGGTTTGTCGACGCTACCTGAACCAATACCACTCAATGGACACTTTGATCATCTCCATACCCTGGTGATTAAAAACCCGCACGCCCATTACTTAGTGCGCGTAGAAAGTTTATGAAATAGATGATGGAACCAAGACTTCGACGCGAAATACATGATGGAACCAAGACTTGCGACTCCATTTTTCACCATGTCCTCGACAAGGCTTATTGCTTGGTTCCAACATAGATTTTGCGCCATATGATTCCAACGTAGATTCGCGAAATGCATGATGGAACCAAGACTTGCGACTCCATTTTTCACCATGTCCTCGACAAGGCTTATGGCTTGGTTCCAACATAGATTTTGCGCCATATGGTTCCCGGATGGGCCAACATAGATTTGCGCCATAAATAGGAAATAAATAGGAAATAAATATCTAAATAAATGCAGATAAATATGAACGGGCAAATAAAAGAGCCGAGAATAACGGGGGCTATAAATGGGCAGCTACCCCAGCCGAGTGGGGTCCGTCTCGATATAGTGCGCGACGGCGAGGTCCGCCTTGATAGGCTTACTCTTAAGGGAGGAGCTGGTGTGGCACTTTGATGGCCCTGGCTGGGCCAGACAGCAGCCAGTTTTTCTCGTGCCTGACGGGGAAGGTACTGCCGGTCTTGTCCATGCAGTAGACGTGGATCCGTGGCCTTCCATCCGGAGGCTGGTCTGGACCAGTTCTCGCACCTGCGTGCGCCAGGTTCCTGCTGCACATCATAGCATACCCGAATGGTATTTCAATTGGCGGAGCATCGTTGGAGAAGTCCGCTGGGATGCATTGGTCCCCTTCTTTCTTACAATATTCAACTTTATGTGATCCCCGAGACACGCATAAATTCGCCCCTGCTTCTGTGACCGGGATGACGATAAACCCAATTTCTTCTTCCTTACCTTTTTTGGCCTCATGGTCTGTATGCATTATCTGCTGGTCAACATTCTCCTCCGTAGCCAATACGACCTCTCCCATCGTACCTGTACCTGTGATGTTGCTTAAATTTGCATGTGTAGAAAGCTTAAGTTTAAGTTTGGCGTTCATCCATCGCCCACTTCGTTTTGCCTGCGCGGTCGTGTCCGTTCCG